TACATATCAGGCAGCCCCAATCAAAAGCAAAGTTGGGCTTCTATTTATATTTATCATTTGTATTCCGCCCCTTTTCCGGCACATTCACCATCAAGAACAACAGACCCAACCCACAGAGCTCCACCCCGAAAGAAACTCGTATCAGTGTCGCCATCGGAACGGCAAACCAATCAAACATCAAACAGTATTCCATCATTGTCAGCAGCAGCAGCTACTACGAGATTATGACTATATATTCGGAACAGAAGCAATGATGACCCGGAGATAGACGGAAAAATGGGGGGACGGAGGTGAAACATTTATGAGTTCATGTGACATTATGTTAAATATTCAAAGAGCAAATGTTGATGCATCCATTGGGGAACTGGCCATTGAATAATGGTCCCATTTGCAGCGGCGGAACTACAGTTTGTGCCTCATGAATTTCGTTGTCATTGGCCACCGATTCACTCTCCGTCCAAGCCTGACTCTACGGCCACTTCAAACAATGGCACCGCAATTTATGCCGCACAATTTGCAGTCCCCTACACTGAAAAAGAAGTTGCTCTTAAATATAGCATCTGGCTTTAAGAAGAGTAGGGAATTTGCCTTAAAATAGATGAAACTGCATTTAGTCTAAGTTCGTTGCCTTTTCAAAATCAGAAATTTAATTCTAGTATAACAACTTTATTTTTTTACCCTGTACTGCTCTATCTAAACCCACAAATTGCAGCAAGTTTTTCGATTTGCAAAACTATGTTCATGAGTTTTTGGATTGGCGAATGGGGAATGGCTGATTGCTCGATTGCTGAACTCAACTAGAGTGAAATCGCTTGTACATGCTTGTGTTATTGACGCACATCCATCAGACATTTATATATATTCGCCCACTTAAGTGCATTATATGTAATTTGGCGTGTGTGCTATGGATTTTGAGCAAGCTGGTGGAACATTGCTGGCTTATCTATGGAAAATATATATTTAAATCTCAATCGATTTCGATGTCTGGCGGAAAAGGATGAAGAGAGCAAGGGGAGCTGGTCTCTTTGGTCAACCCCTATCAACAAGTCTTCGGTCTAAAGCTCTTGAGCCACAAAATCCCTTGGTTTGGGTTTGCTTAAAGCGGGGAGGTGTTGTGTGCCGAGTTTTGTGTGTGTAGGGAGAATTTTAAATTGGGAAGCAGGACTCAAAATTTGCATTCAAATGAGACATCAGCATTGTCGTTGGTGTTTTTTTTAATGCAAATATTACGCAAAGTCGCTTTTGTTCGATCACAAGATGCAGACATGGGTAGCGCAGGGAGTTTACTTTTTTAAACAACAAAATTAGGAGATATACAATTATATTTTCAACGGGCTAAATTTGACCTTTTTGTAATGTTTTAAGTCTTACTGTACCCCTTTTAAGGAATAATCATTTTATAAAAGAGTTGTACTCCACAGTAAAACGTTGTCTTACCTTTCTTGAAAAACAATACGTCATTATTGTTTCCCTTGCTAAGCACTAGAAACATGAACAATTAAAACACCCCATTTGGTATTCTTTAATTTTCCATCTCAAGAACCATCCCTTTTGTAATTTGATGTATATATTTGAATTGATCCTGAAGTGCCATTCCACTTCCAATTTGAAGAAGGTGGATATTTATTTTTGATAACGGCTTGTGGCACTAATGATGTGTTCAAAATACTTTTACCTTCGACTGTTTTCCTATGGCAGCTAATTCAAGGAAAATTCTCTTTGATTAAATCCAAATTTGCATTTCTAGCGGCTCAATTTCACAATCACGTGATATATGTAATGGCCCTTTTACACATGCGAACCAGTCATAATTTAGGACACAAGTTTGCCCTTTGCAACCATGGCCTAAACAATTACCGAGGTCATGTCGCTGGCGTCTTAAATAAATTAGCTTTGGTTATTGGCCGGGCCAAGAGCATTCGACGGCCTCGAGTGCCGTTTGGCATAATAATATTGTGCGTGGCAGATTGAAACAAATACGGCAAAAACTTAATTATATTTTGTTTGTCAACTACGATGAGGGAGATTTTGTTCAAGAAGTGGCTAATACTGCAGCTTGTTTGCCAGGTCCAACAAATTGTATTTGGAATATCAAGTGAGTCGGATTGAATGCTTAGGATAGATTGACTGATAGAATTTGGTAATTTTTCGCTTCTTTTTTTTTACATAATTTTCTTCGACTTGGCACAGGCCATAAAAACCAAAGTAGTTCACTCAAAAAGCCATATTCTTAACCTAGGGACCATTACACACTTGCCAACTCACGCACTGCCAGAAACAAAAAATGGGAGATAGTCTGAAACCTTCCTTAACAATGCTCAATGTGTCAAGATTCCCCAAAGTGAAGTTGGGAAATGGGAAAGAAATCAGTTTACCCGTATTTTCTTTGGCTCGACTTTTGTTTTCGCTTGAGTTTTTGGGTTTTCCTGGGTCTGTGTTGCTGTATTTTTTCTGAAGCTTTCTCTCTTCACATCTTGTTTATTTGTGCTTACACTTATCAAAATATTTGGCGTACACATATTGTTTCGCCTGGCTGTCTGCATCAAGAATAAAGATATTGGAGTTGGGTCAACTGGAGAGTTCGGACCGTGACCCTTATGTTCACCCAACTCCCACTTTGTTTGCCCTGGGCCAACACAAAAACAAGAGTAGATAACAACTTACACAGAGGAAGTACGCGAATTGAGATGCTCTGAAAGCCATAGTAAAATTCAAAGAAGCGGAACTTTTATATTGTATGTATTTTGGGTAGGAAATGTGATATATATAAGAGTTTTTTGCAATGCTATGAAATAATTTAAGTCAAGTTATAATAGTGGGTTGAATGTATGTGAATGACATACAAATGTATAGTTCAAGAATGTAACTCTTAGTCAATTAACTCTTATCCCCAAATTAATACAATATATTTAAAAATTAAATGGTAAGGAAGCTAAAGCTACACTGAATTGTTTATATCGTATACTTAGGAAATTGCAGTACCCTTAACCAGGAACATTAATTCAGTACAGAGTAACAATAGAAATTAGATGGGAAGCGATACACACAAAATTATCTGCCATGCCACATTCTGTTGAATTTTTCAGCATGTGCGTGTGTGTGAGAGGGCCGTAACTTTCACTTTGTTGTCCGGGTTCAACCGCCCACTGACCTCCCGCCCAACGACCTTCCCCTGCCACAGATACCCCACTTTATTTGCCCAGTTTGCCGCTGCTTAAGTTACTTTTCCTTAACGCTTGAATTTCTTTTTGCCGCTTCCTTAGCCTTTTGGTTTTTCCTAAAGCTTCAGCTTGTGTCGTCGTTTGCCTTTTGCCGCCTTTTGGTTTTCCCCTTTGCTGTCGCCTGGTTTTTCCTTAGCTCAGCATCTGATTTTCTTTCGAGCATGTGTGCGTGATTTTTTGTTTCTTCGCAACGCTTTGTTTCTGTATTTCCTTCGTCTGTTATTTTCATAAATAAATTTGCATGTCAAATGACATTGTTTATGGAATTCCTATATGAAAGACATATATCACTTGGCCAGATGGAATTGTTGTGCCCTCATCAGTCGATGTTTCTGGGAGTGGGTGTGCGCATCACACGTTGTTGACATCTTTGTTAAAATATGTTTACAAGCTCAAATTAGTAATGGAGAGTTTGCCATCCGCTGTATGTGCGTACATATCTGTTTCTCTGACTTCGTCTGTCTGGCTGCCAAAGCTGACAAGCGAAATGAATTCGTAATTGAGTTTTCCGATATGAGTTTTCCATGAGTCTGAAGGCTGACGCAGCCGCTCATATTTAATTTGAATAAGATATTAGCCACTTCTTTTCAAGATGAGACATTTTTTCCATTACTTATTTCTCGCTGGGCATATAAAAAAAAGTTAATTTCAAAAGCTTAACCAATTATATCACATTTTGATATATTTATGTTATTTAACAAAAAAATACCAATAAAGTGGTTAAATAATTTAAGGGAATTATAAGCCAACTTATGTTATTGATTTTTTAAGATCTATCAGACAAAAACAAAATTGTTATATATTTCTTTTACTTTAAGTTACTTTAAAATGCGATACCCTAGTTTCTCGGTTTCCCGGTGGCGCCTCTTTGGCGGCGGTTTTCCCATCCGCATCAAAGTTTTCGCTCAGGCCGTAATTATTTCAGCGGTCTTATCGACGCAGCAACGAAACAGCCATAATTATTGAAAACAAGTCAAGCGCAGCACATTTGTTGCCTCTTTGCTGGATCCCCAATAAAAATGCCTTCCTGATTAGCGTGCTCAGCATGTGCCGTGAACTTGTCTTATCTTCCAGGCTCGATTCAGGCCCATCTCCGCCTACCCCAGAAAAAACTCGAGAAGAAATTTATAACATATCGTTGAGCTAACAAAGGGGATTGCTCATAAGCTAAATAAAGAGTGGGATGTGAGGCAAAAGAAATTATGTCACAGCTTACCGAGATTTTCTTGAGTAACTGGAAAGAAAAAAAGGATGAAGGGGGAGGGAGACTAGATAAATACAGAACGTATGTTGCTCTAAAAATATTTTTTAAGATTTACTTTCGATGATACACTATGGTCGGTACAAACAAGTGGCCCTTACGACATCAAGCAAAGTTTGTTACGCGCGGAGACCTCTTCCCCTGGGGTAATGGATAGTAAAATGGTCAGTAAAGAACGGACATACTAATTCAAAATATATACTAAAATAATAAACAAATAAATAATAAGATAATTAATAAGATAAGATTAATACTTTTAAAATGGGTAATGAGTCAGTAGTAAAAATGACATAGAGTTTATTATAGTCATTATAGAGTACTCTAAATGGTATAAGCAAATCATAGTTTGATCTACAATGTTTCTAAATAAGACGAATATAGTACCTAATGATACGATAATGAACTGATAAATGTAGGCGGCCCAGTAGCTCGGTACTCTTCACATTCCCGAGAGACGAGGTTTCTTTATACAAATCTTATAACAAATTTTAACCTTATTTCGAATCAAAGTCAAATCATAGATTTGCAATAGTTCGTCCTTTTATTTAACACTGATTAGTTTACACATATCTACTGTTTAGGTATACCGCCATCTAATACAGTCGATGTGAAACACCCATGGATGATTTTATATGAAGTGAACGCACATTCTGCCAGTTGTCCTTCAGCAGAGATACGAGAAAATTGACCGACATGCTTATGTTTTGGGTCAGTTCCTCTGCAGGCATGCCCACATGTCCAACATTAACGGAGATGCAAGCCATCTTTTTTATCAGTAATTTCTTGGTGGTTAGTATTTTGATTTTGGAAGACATTGATTCCATGTGGGTCAGAGGAGTAGGAAACTTGCCGGCGTTAGTAAGACCAGGACCCAGCAGACTTGTAATTTGTTTTATTATCGACTCGGAGACCAAGAAGGCATCGTAAGATTTGGCCACTTTCTTGACCAACTTCTGATCCTTGTTAAGTTTCTTGAGAGCTTCCACATCCAAGCTATCAACTCCAATACTCTTGGCCTGGTAACAATGCTTTTGATCTCCTAACACGCATACCTTTAATTGCGGAACTGCAAGGTGATGTAATAAAGCACTTCCATAAAAGCGCTTGCATTTTTCGGGATCATAGTCCTTAAGTCCAATCTGCAGCTCCATGGATTCAGGGCATTCGGTTTCCTTAGCCTGTGAGATCCGTATAATATTTTTTACTGCCGCATAAAGCGTGTCGCGAGAAATTTTCGACGTCATAATTTATATCTATGTTTTTAAAAATTTGGGGAGTTTGGGCCAACGTGCTGTTAGCAAAAATTTAATTTATTTTAAATATAAAAAGAATTTAAATAATGTAGACAGTTAAATGATGGATATGTTGAAAAAAAAGGTTCGACTTTGGTAGATTAATTTTAAGTATTTGCATTGAATAATTAAAAAACGTGCACTATATCAACAGAAAAGTTAAATAAAATTTAAATCCTATTTTAATCATATTATTTACTAATCGTTTTCAAACACTAATTAGTCAATTAATTATTGCTTCGTGGATGCTTTTAATCAAAATTAACTTATTTCATTAAGTCATAATTCGCTTGACAAAATTCTCTTGACGCAATTGCAAAGCCCTGTGCCATTTTGTTCCTAGGCTGTGCATAATTGATTGGCCAAAACTGAAATCGATTTACCGGCTTGAGGCTGCAGAGCATTTTGCCACCGGCCAAATTGGAATTTCCAAATGCCACACGACAGATGGCAATTGCCCGATGCCACTCGAAATTCAGCAGCTCAGCTGGTTGAGTTCAGCAGTTCAGGTCAGTTCAGTTCAGGTTAGCTGGTTTCGGTGCCCTGCGGATGGACTCACATCCGCCTAGTTTTGCGCTAATTAGGGGAGTGTTGCCGCCAGGTTTTCGGGACAGCATTTTCTGCAGCGTTGACATCATTTGTTGAGCTGGGCCAAACTGCAGCTCAGAATGCAGACTGGGCTTTCTGGCTTGTGCGTAATTATAAACGAAATTATAAGCTGCGGCCGTACATCGTGTGCAGCGGAGATTAAAGTGGAAATTGCAATTCTGGCTGCTGTCTGGTGTGATCAAGATCCCTGTAACGGGAGGATGTGCACGGACATCACGGCCACGATGAGGATTTGTTGCCTGCCAGTGCTAATTTACACATTTTGATTGCTCCCAACTGGCGAACGGAATCACCTTCTCGCACAATCCCCACTCAGCCGCCTTGTCGTCTTCGCTGATACCATTATGCGGCATTTTTCTACAGCTTAATGCATAATTTGCGTCCTGGGAATAACGACAGTCAGTGCCAGTAGAGCACTGAAAAAAATATTAATATTAAATTTAATTTCCCAAAAAATTTCTTAACGGAACAAATAAGTACAAAGCCTTGGTCAAATTATAGGTTATAATTTCTTAATATAAAGGTTAGTTTGAAAAAAAATTAAAAATCACTCAAAGGCGTTACTTAATTGAAAATAATAAAGCTTATAGTCTTTACGTAAAATGTTTCTTAACTATATTGATTTCGCAATAAAGTTATTAATAGTGTTAAATAATAAAACATTTCCAATATTGTTGTTAAAATAATTTTTAACAGTGTTGTTCCTTAAAGATATATATAAAATATAAATTGTTAAGCACAGAAATTTTTGAAAGCTCTTGAAACAATATCTTTTTAAGTAAACAAATTTGGTACCACTTCGACACACTTTACAGTGCAGAAGTTTCTTAGATGTTGAAGAAGATTTTCCGGGGTGGCGATGGTTGAGTTCCTTGGAAGTACTTACTGCCGTAAGATTATTTCACGTTGAGCTTCTTATTGGCGACATTTTCGGGATTTGACTCTGGCATGGCGCCTATTTTCTCGACTCAGGCTTTTCCTTCAGTAAGTGTTTATCAGGATGCTGCTACTATTTTCCGTGTTCCAATTGAAGCCAGGAAGTAGCTCACGGTGCTGGTACTATTACAGCTCATTAGGCTTATCGAGAACCATTTAATTTTTGAGTATATAAACTTTTATAAAATTAAATGTAGAGAGGTGATTGGTAAATTTGTTGACAACTATTCCAATATAAATATTGAAAGCCAATAAAAAATGTCATATACTTGATACTTTAATTTAGATTATGTTTCAGTGCAAAGTTGCTATTTTAAGGATATACCCAACTTTCAGGTTCTTCCCTCACGTCCAAAACGAAAGATTCCTGACTTTATTTGCTGTTCAATTGCCATAAGCACTGAGTGACCCTCCCACAAGCCATCTCACAACTCACAAATGTGAGTTGATCTGTAAATGCCGATACGTTCAATGGCCTTCCTTGACCATATCATATCAAATATATGTGTTTGTGCCAATATATACACCCCTGGCAAAAGACATTTCTGAAGTTTTTCGCATTTTTGCACTTTCAGGCCAAACCTTTTTCTAATAGCAAATGTCAATTTATTTGGGTTAGAGGAAAAAACTAATAAGCAAATACTTGGCATAATTTGGTCAGAAGCTTCAGGACTTTAACATGCCAGGGGACATGGACTTTCGGGCTCGGACCACTGACGTAATCAAATCGGCAATCAGTGAGATATACTCGTACGTATGCGCATCAATGTGCCCGAAGGGTTTGGCTTTCCTCCCATATCCTTCCTATATCATCCCTCCCTTTTTTGTCTCCCTATATCCTTCCATATACATTCGCATCCGATGGCAATGGCAAACAGTTTTCCCCAGGATGGGACACGCTGGGTGCCTTGCCTGCAGCTGATTCTTTTTTGAACTGTCCCTAACAGTGCGTAAATTGCCATTTTCAAATACATTTCAATCCGCACACATATATATGTTTGGATGTATATTCACAGATTTTTTCAGGAGTCAAAAAAAGTTTAAATACTCTTGCGGGCCAATTTATACTAGCAAAATGGCTGTTGAATCTTGCATTTGCATTGAAAATCGATAAAGGGAATTAGTTTTATGGCAGTTGAACTCGTGAATTGTAAATATAGATGATTTTATGTTTTCGGTTAATATGCATAAAAGAAATGTGAAGTAAATTTGTGGGTCTCAGTGACTGGTTTGCGTTTTTGTTTTCATACATACTTCTTATTTAATATAGTCACAAATTTATTTTGGCTTAAAATATTTACTGTCATCTCTTACTTTTTTAATTTTCGTAAATTTTTGGATAAGTTTTTGTATAATTTCTTAATAAATAATTTTTTATTTTTTCATTTTGACTAAGCGCACTGCAACGCTGTTAAACATTTATGAAAAACTTTATGATTATGCCTAGAATTTATTTTATAACCAATGCTGTTGTCCCTGGGATCAAGGCGATTTTTATTGCTTTTGGTGCCTGACCGCTTCCCAGTCAATCAACTTCGAATGGTGAATGTTGGATAGTCTCGCGTTACGCATACGCCGTGATATCCCGTTGTTGTAATGCGAGTGCCAAACAAAAACTTCAATTGTCAACTGCCGGCGCCTGATTCACGCTTTTTGTTTGCAGCTGCCATTGCTGTCGTGTTGCGCTGTTATTGCTCTGTCATTTTATCGTCAGCGGAGACTGCCTTTGATCTCGGCACGCGCCCCGAACTATGCAAAGCATTTTTGCCTCAGGTCACACGCACGTGCCTGAAATGTCGGCGGCGCTTTTCACATCCACACGAGACCATGTGTGTGGATGTGAAAAGTATAGCATACTTTCGAACCACTACATACCAGAGTTGGTAGAGGAAGGTCCGCAAATGATAATGAAATTTTTGCTGTTGGTCGATGTGCATAATATTTCAGGGAATACCTTTATTCTTGCGTTTTCTTAGTGCTGGAACCAATATTAAAAGAAATAAGCGAGACCCTATTCCCGTAACAAGAAAATCAATTTAAAAATTTCAAAACCATTTTTAAACTATTTCCAATTTCTAGAAAATAAAAATACCAAGTTTGCTGGACTGACTACTAAATTGGTTGAAAACTTTGTTTTATAAAAAGTGTTTTGGTGAATTTTCGTTTTAAATTATATTATTATTTTTTCAGTTTTAGTATGTACTATGTATTTTTGTAAACTATTCGATCAATAGCGCCCATAATTTGACCACGCAGATAGCCTTATACATACAGCATTAGGGTAACATTTTTAAAAGAAATACATTATTATAATTTTTGTTCTGGTTGGCTTATAAGTGTCTTACGATCCTCCTGTCGCTGCGATGGAGACCATAATACCACAAGCAAAAACAGCTTTTCATCAGATACTTGAGCAGATTTCGAACCACCACTCCCTCCCACTGAATAGAAGGCTCCACCATTATGTTTTATAATCATTTTACAACCGGTGTGATATTTAGAATATGACCAAAAGTTGCTTCATCGTTTCTGTTTTTAGGGAAAGTTTTTCCATGGCCACAGCATATCTCAGATGCTGCCCATTCCTCTGCCGCCGAATGTTGTTTTTAGTTGCGGGCGTGGATGGGTGGGTGGTTGGGTGCTAAAAGTTGCTAGCAGAGCCACATGGCAGATGTGTTTGGTTGCCGTTGCTGCTGTTGTTTTTATTTTTTATAGTGCTGGCCATAAAGTACTTAAAAGTTTCATTTTACGCCTATTTTGCTGGACGAGTGCCCCATTATCAGAGTGCGGGAGCCACCAAGTGACCAACTGACCTGGCCAGAATTCACCAGATTTCCCTGCTCGCCGCTGGCTGGCAAAAATCCAATTTGCCAACATTTTAACAATCATTGCCGTCGGGCACTTCAGCAACTCATATTGTGGCCATCCACTTTTAATTGCTTGCCTAAACAAATAATATTTGAGTAGCATATTTCCGGAGGTTTGAGTGCTGGCACACGGAAATACAATTTTTGATTTGTCTAATAATTCATTAAAAAAATTCTCCATAGCTGTTTTTAAATCATCTTAGTTTAGCTTAAAATTCGTTCTTTTCAGATCTTAAGCGATTTAAAGTCACCAAGAAGTAAGAGAAAATTAGGTTAATGATTTTAGAACATCCTTATAATAAAAGTTTTTTTTTTTTTGAGTGCACCAATTAATAGCTGGACAGCAGCGTAAAGTGGATTTAAGTCAGCCAAAAGGTCAAGGGAACGAGCTAAGACGCTGGGCAATTGGGAGGTAATTGCTCGTCAGCTCGTCGAGAGCTCCAAACTCGAACTCATCCTTCGCCACAGAAACTTGTGCCTATCAATATGCCGGCCTGATGAATACCATCATCATCATCTCGTGCTCCCGTTCCCTTTAGTACAAATTTTAATAACTGTATTCGGTTGAGGACATTCAATGTCCTGAGCCAGCTTGTTTATATTTCCTTTCGCGGGCTCTCTGCACCAAAGTTTTTTAACAATTTATTTT